GTGTGTAACGAATGCACAGCCGCAATTTTCGACGGATTTGCACCAAAATTTACATGCACATGCTCCAAGTTAGCGGGAAGGCCAAGACCGACTTTGCATTTTCCAACTCCTATCGATAGTGGAAATAATTGATTTGTTCATGCTCCTACGGCAGTTTTCATGTAGTTTGCGGCCATTTTCTATTGGCCAGAGTGAGAGCCTATAGCTGGCGGCCACGAATAGGCAAGAAGATTCTATTGGCCAACGTGAGAGCCAACAGCTGACTGACACGAATGTTAACTAGCATGCAAAAAAATCGATAGCTGCATTCGTCACAAGTGGGAAAAATTTAAATCTGCATGGCACTTTACTACAATTGGCTCATTCGCTTGCTTAAACTCAACGTTGATTCTGATTCCGCAGAACTGGGTTGGATGTGAAAAAGTATTTGTTGTTAACATTCTTTTTTCATTCGGTTTTTCCAGTTACGAGTCCTTTTTTAAAGCTGATCGTTTTGTGTTCATTTTGTTTAGTTCTTTTTTCGTAACAGATTTAATGTTTAGTATAGAGCTTAGAAAAAAATTCGCAGTGTGAGATAGGCAAGAAGTAAGGCATGTAGCAACATCAGCACGGCAAGGGCACTCCTTTAAAGGCAAGGAAGGGCCAAAATATTTTAAGTCAAGTGATAGCGATTGCTGTATGAGTCGTACGATTTTTGAATCAAGCACGGGCAACGCCGAGCCATGCTGCTATTATATATATATATATATATATATATATATATATATATATATATATATATATATATAGGCAGCAATCTTTCCTTTATGCATGTTTCATTAAAAACGACAGACAAAGTACTACGGTTAAGCTTTTTATTTAATTTTTCTTAATAGCCGTTTTTTTTTCAAAACTTCTGGTGTCTTCTCAAGTGATGGTTTTGTCAACACCATCACTTAAAAAGACACCAGAATGGTTGAAACAAAATGGCTATTTTTGTAGTGATTTTATAACATTTTTATGTTATAATTTTCGAATAAATGATTATATATAAATATATATATGCGACACAGAAAATTTCCATGTTTCAAAACTGAAACTAAATTTATAAATTTAATTATTAAAATTAAACTTAAAATCCATAGTCTCGTTCCATTATCAAGCGATGATAGGAATAAGCTTTCAAAAGAAATCTACTTAATTTATAAAAGTATACAATATTGATATTATCAGTTGTTATGGTTAAGGAAAATCTATTTTAATTTAGGGGTGGCTGGGCTTTAATTTCCGAGACAGCTTATGTATCCAATATAGGTTACTTACAAAGTCAGGTTAAGTTTAGGTTGGGGTGGGGGTGTCTGCTAACAAACGTATACTTCAGTTCTTCAGTGAGTCGGCTGGATTTCCAATGATAAAAAAAAAACAAGGCATTTTTAATTATTCGCTTAATTCATATTTTTATACACAAAGATTTTCTAAAAGTGTCATTTAAATATGTGCAAGACATATTATTAATATGTCATATTTTTAAAAAGAAAATTATAATATTTTGCATCGAGCACTGTTTTTTAGAAATAAAAATAAGTGCTAAAACCGAATTATAAATCTTACTGTTCTTTCTTATTATTTTAATACACACACACAACATATATATATATATATATATATATATATATATATATATATATATATATATATATATATATATATAAAATACCAATTGTTAATTGGTCGGGATAATTCAAAGACGACATTAATCCAAAGAGAGCACAATGTAAATAACAGAGCAATATAATAATAATCAGTAAAGAAAATCCTTAAAATCCAGCTCGGTAATAATTTATTTCATTTGTTCATGAAATAAATTATAGCCGCGATGTATTTTAAGGATTTCCTTAATAATGTGTGTGTGTGTGTGTGAAAAGTCTGTATATATATATATATATATATATATATATATATATATATATATATATATATATATATATATATATATATATTATTATTTATATATCATATGCGTGGTGCTTATTAGAAAGCGCTCAATATCAGAGATAGAGCTAACATATTTGGTTGGATTGATGTGAGTTTGTGACCCTGGGTTTAACGCTTTTCCCATCGTCAGACAAATTGATAATATATATATATAAACTGACGATAGCAAGAGCGAAACCAGGGTCACAAACTCACATCAATCCAACCAATATATATATATATATATATATATATATATATATATATATATATATATATATATATATATATATCCACAGGCAGACTGTTTCGCTGTATCACAGCTCACCAGTGTGATAGACATCCAATTGCTTCAAACAGGGATTGAAACTTGACCGATTTGACATCAGTCAGAGACTCTTACCCCTAGGCTATCGGCGTACGACAGGTAATTTTTAACGCATTATATACGTGATATATAAACACCATGCTGGTCGCCATATGATGAACTTCACTGTCTATTTCGGCATAAAAGTAATCAACAAATAAATCATTTTATGAGTTTATGCCTGACACAACAGAATCCTGTCATTGTTTTTTTAGACATGACCACAAATAGTGAAATGGCGTGTTAATTTTAACGCCTTCAAAGCAAAACATATCTTTCATTATCTGAAAGACGCCTTCCTACCTTCCGGCGACCGAGTCCAAAATTTGTAGGGAAATATTCTCCCTCACAACATTCTCCAACTTTCTTCGGGTGTATGCAGTATGAATTGAATAAATTAAAACACAGAATTTTGAGAAATATGTTCAGTATTCCAAGGTCTTTTGTTTTCAAGGAAACATTTCATCTGGTCCATTTTCCAGCCTTCAATATGCATGTGGAAAACGTTGAATAATTTTAAATGAATTATGACTAATATAGTTACTATTCCGTAGTATTTTGCGGACGAATATACTTATCTATTTTATTTTTCAACCCAACATGACACCTGACCCATTCTTCAGCTTGGATTCTTCAGCTTCATGCCATATTCTAAATGACTTTCTTAACACTGCCTTTACCAGGTATTGAACTCACACTCTTTGGGTCTTGCTTCTGGATCTAACCGACACCATATGTCTTGTGTATGAAATTCTGGGTATTATAAATCTAATGTCTTCAGCAACCATTTTTTACCAGAGCTCATATTGCAATTTTTGTTGTTATTATCGCTTTTCTCTGGCATTCTTATTACTCGTTCCCATATTGTATTCATTTCTATGCTTGGTCGGCTCAGTAGGATATTTTAGTGTCACGTAATTTATTCGTTCGCAACCATGGTGAAGACGGCTAACCATGACAAGATCCGAATGAAGATAATTGATGCGTACAAACAAGGTGGTGGATAGACAACACTCTCTAAGCGTTTAGATGTTCCTAGACCGACAATTCATAGCATTATAATGAATTTCAACGGGACTCATTTCACCCAAGCAAGACGATAAAGCCACTAAGATGCAAGGGAGTTACTGAGTGTGAAAGAATATGAGAAGTATGGCTGATGCTAACCTCCAGAAGAATTACTCATTGCACCTTCTTCGACTAAAGTTTTCAACTGACATGAAGTGGAAGAGTATATTGACTCATATGCTAAGTCTACAGCTAAAAAAAAAAAGTTAATTCACGATGTCGGGCTAGACAATTTTTCTTACCAGAATCTATCTTACATATTTCTATTTTCATGCTTTAAATTTTACTGCCTGCATCTGCTCCTGCTATATATTTAGAGATTCTTGATAAAATCCAGAGAAGAATCTGCCATGTTATTGGTCCTGACCTGGCTTCTGGGCTTCAACCACTTACTCACCGCCGTAACACAGATTCCCTTTGCTTTTTCTATAAATACTTTCATGGTAATTGTTTTGATGAACTTTCCGCTATGGTGCTTGTACATTATGAATTTAAGCGCAGTACTACTCATCACTTTAGAGTTGAAATTGCTAGATGTAACCTTAAGTTCTATGCTAAGAGTTTCTTCACTCGCACTTCTCGCTTGTGGAACTCTCTTCCATATTCTTGCTTCCCAGTCAATGCAATACCAATCGTTTTCTTCAGTCTTCTTAATTCTTATTCTTTTATTGTCCTCTCTCCTTAATAGTGAATTTTCTCATATTCTCTAACACCCAGTAACCTCTTGCGTCCTAGTGGCTTTATTGCCTTGCTTGAAGTGAAATGATTTAAAAATAAGAAAAAAAAACGTATTAACAACGAGAATAATAAAGAAACATGAATTAAGACAAAAAATGACGATTGACATTGCGTTTAAATTTTTGAAGATCAAATATGACTGGGAAGCAAGAGGCTGCGGGGAACGTCCCACGAGTTAGAAGTGCGAAAGAAGAAACTGTTAACATAGAACTTACGGTGAATATATTAGTCAAACTTTAAATAGTGTTATAACGGTAGCAAAACTAACAAAATCGATGTATTAAAATCTGATACAGGCAGTAGAATATCAAATAGGTCATATTACGATGTAAAATAATAAATTATTATAGTTATTGCATTATTAATATTATATTATGTAGGTTCCCGATGGCTACACAGAAATATGGCAGAAGGAAAATTCAATAAAGACATTGAAAAGCGGAAAATGTTAGTCACAATGAGAAACCGTCTTTATCAATGCATTACATGGTAAATATAACAGTAATGGCGAAGCGCTCGATTTATGAATGAATAGAGCAAAAATGGCGCCCAAAATGTCATTATTTGAACTCGGAAAGAAAGCAAGATATTCAATCGCTATCCATTAAGTCTCTGGACGCTATACTTAGTTCATGCGTCAACGAATCGAAAGTCTTTACTGAATAAGATGATTTCAACGTAACAGTGAATGGCGTAGTATCCAGTTGCCTATAAACAAATGAATGAACCAGACGATAAACGCAATTTAGCAATTTGCGTTAAATATATGTTTCTGCTGTTTTGATCTTTTGGTCTTACTTATAAATATGAAGCTATATTGCATTTCGTTTATAAGTCCTGACACCACCAAATCATGAAAAGATATAAAGCTCATATGAATATATCTATATATCTATTAGACTATCTTAGCAGTATCAGTTGATTAATGTCTGTCTGAAATTCTGAGATGCGGTATTATTATTATTTACATTGATTTATATTTGGACTAATGTTTCAGCAATTTTGCTCTCCGACCTTCTTCAGATGTCTGTCAGGCTTACGATCTCAACAAGAGACAAAAATTCTTAAGAGCTAAGAGCTGTAAATGAGAGGGTACTTGAGGATAGCCATGATGGTCGTAAAGAGGCGCGACACATGAAAGATGGATTTGTGTTACACGATGTTGAAATGCCATCTCTTGTTGTAAGAATCTACTTTTACCACCAGTTCGAGACAAACTGATAATCATGAAAACAATGTTAACGAATAAATTCTAATTACGCATGAACTTTTGATAATATTTTTTTTGGCCATAAATTCTGTTGGCGTGTCGTCAGAGCTTCTGCAGAGATTAAATTTTGGATCCTTATAAATCTGATCAATATTTACCAAATTCACACTTGTGCATCTCATACCTATGTCTACATTTTAACTCTCGAGTAAATCGAACCAATGTATACCTTTTGATTATCGTGTTAACGAGATCTGTCAGAATTTTTACTAGAGTATATATCGGACCAAAGATTAGATTTTCAATAAATCGGATCTATCACTGCCTTTTTGACATTCGTGCTTACTAGACATATGTCTATCTTCTTTACACGCGTGTTAGTCGAACCTATGGTTACCTTTACAATTCTACTGCAAATCGAACCTATATGTGCCATTTTGATTCCTGTGTATACCGCATTTCAGCAGTTTTCATTCATCTGCAAAATGTACCTATGCCTAACTTATTCCCTCTTGTGTTAAACAAACCTATAACTACCTTCTAAAATCTAGTGTACCCGTGATCTGTGTCTACCTTCTTGTCTCGATATAGGAACCATGCGTACAATTCTATTCTAGAGTAAATCAGAACAACTTTTTCCCTTCCTTCTTCTTAACTTTCGTATCGTTTTTCCTATTTATACGCCTCACTTTTCATAACATCTTTTTCTATTCCTTCTTCCTCTTCAACTTTATTAATTATTACTCTTTAATTTTCCATTCGTTTTTACCTCTTTATAAGACTCTCTTTTCATAACATTTTATTTTCCTTCTTCCTTTTTACTTTGCTCTTCGTTTATTCTTCTTTATAAGCCTCTGTTTTTCTAAGACCGTTTCTTTTCCTTCATCTTTTTAACATTCCCTTCGTTTTTTCCAGTTTATACGCCTCACTATCCATGATATCGTTTTCTCTTCCGTCTTACACTTCACCTTCAACTTTGTTTTTTCCACTTTATACCCCCATCTTTTCATAACATCTATTTCTATTTCTTCTTCTTTACCGTTCTCTTTGTTTTTTCTCTTCATACGCCCAACTTTTCATAACATCTATTTCTCTTCCTTCTTGCCCTTTACATTTGTCATCCTTTTTCCTCTTTATGCCCCCCTCTTTTCATAACAACTTTTTCTCTGCCTCTTTACATTTCTCTTCGTTTTTTCCTCTTCATACGCCTCTCTTCTCATAACAACTTTTTCTCTTCCTTCTTCCTCTTTACCTTTCTCTTCGTTTTTTCCTCTTCACACGCCTCTCTTTTCATGACATCTTTTCTCTCCCCTTCTTGCCCTTTACATTTCTCTTCCTTTTTTTCCTCTTTACCCCCCCTCTTTTCATAACATCTTTTCTCTCCCTTCTTGCCCTTTACATTTCTCTTCATTTTTACTCTTTATACCCCCCTCTTTTCATAACATCTTTTTCTCTTCCTTCTTGCCTTTTACATTTCTCTTCCTTTTTTCCTCTTTATACCCCCCTCTTTTCATAACATCTTTTTCTCTCCCTTCTTGCCCTTTACATTTCTCTTCCTTTTTTACTCTTTATACCCCCCTCTTTTCATAACAACTTTTTCTCTTCCTCTTTACCTTTCTCTTCGTTTTTTTCCTCTTCATACGCCTCTCTTTTCATAACATCTTTTTCTATTTCCTCTTCCTCTTTACCTTTCTCTTCGTTTTTTCCTCTTTCTACCCCCCACTTTACATAACATCTTTTTCTCTTCCTTCTTCCTTTTTACATTTCTCTTCCATTTTCCTCTTAATAAGCCTCTCTTTTCATAAAATCTGTTTTTCTTCTTTCTCACTTTTTATCTTTCTATTCGTTTTTTTCCTCTTCATACGCCTCTCTTTTCATAACATCTATTTCTCTTCCTTCTTGCCCTTTACATTTGTCATCCTTTTTCCTCTTTATACCCCCCTCTTTTCATAACATCTTTTTCTCTCACTTCTTGCCCTTTACCTTTCTCTTCGTTTTTTCCTCTTCATACGCCTCTCTTTTCATAACATCTATTTCTCTTCCTTCTTGCCCTTTACATTTGTCATCCTTTTTCCTCTTCATACGCCTCTCTTTTCATAACATCTATTTCTCTTCCTTCTTGCCATTTACCTTTCTCTTCGTTTTTTCCTCTTCATACGCCTCTCTTTTCATAACATCTATTTCTCTTCCTTCTTGCCCTTTACATTTGTCATCCTTTTTCCTCTTTATACCCCCCTCTTTTCATAATATCTTTTTCTCTCCCTTCTTGCCCTTTACCTTTCTCTTCGTTTTTTCCTCTTCATACGCCTCTCTTTTCATAACATCTATTTCTCTTCCTTCTTGCCCTTTACCTTTCTCTTCGTTTTTTCCTCTTCATACGCCTCTCTTTTCATAACATCTATTTCTCTTCCTTCTTGCCCTTTACCTTTCTCTTCGTTTTTTCCTCTTCATACGCCTCTCTTTTCATAACATCTATTTCTCTTCCTTCTTGCCCTTTACCTTTCTCTTCGTTTTTTCCTCTTCATACGCCTCTCTTTTCATAACATCTTTTTCTCTCCCTTCTTGCCCTTTACCTTTCTCTTCGTTTTTTCCTCTTCACACGCCTCTCTTTTCATGACATCTTTTTCTCTCCCTTCTTGCCCTTTACATTTCTCTTCCTTTTTTCCTCTTTATACCCCCCTCTTTTCATAACATCTTTTTCTCTTCCATCTTCCTCTTTACATTACTCTTCGTTTTTTCCTCTTAATAATCCTTCCTTTCATAAAATCTTTTTCTCTCCTTTCTACCTTTTTACCTTTCTCTTCGTTTTTTCCTCTTCATACCCCTCTCTTTTCATTACATCTATTTCTCTTCCTTCTTGCCATTTACTTTTCTCTTCCTTTTTTCCTCTTAATATGCCTCTCTTTTCATAACAACTTTTTCTCTTCTTTCTCCTTTTTTACTTTTCTCTTCGTTTTTCCTCTTCATACGCCCCTCTTTTCATTACATCTTTTTCTCTTCCTTCTTCCTCTTTACATTTCTCTTACTTTTTCCTCTTCATCATTTTCTTGTATCGTCTTTTTCTTGTTCTTAAATTGCCGTGTCTCCTTTATAGTTTATTTTTATCATATTCCCTAATACTTAACACTCAGTAACTCGTTGCGTCTTAGTGGCTTTATTTTCTTGCTTGGGGTGAAATGATTTAAAAAAGGATTTGTGCTGGATAAAGTAAATCTTTGTAAATCGTTTCTACAACATTGCGGCGTATTATTTGGTAGCATGCTCTTTAGTTCCTCGCTATAATGTAATGGTTAACAAGCGTGCTTCAATCTTAACAGCTTGATGTATGACATTTCCTCGTGGGATCCAGCGTTCGTTGCGCACCGTTTAACACTGACGCTTCAATAAGCTGCCCATGATTGAATGTTATATGAAATCATTATCCATCCGCCTGGAATTTTATCGCATGCAAATCCGCTAATGACTCAGGTGCTTTGAGCCTGTCTTCTCAAAAATCAAAAAAGAAAAAATAGTTCATTTAATATCACCCGGGGCTTTCAATTTGGCATAAATAACAAAACAAAAAAAAAACGAAAGAAACAGAAAATAAATTTTTAAAAAATCATTATTATTCTAGCGCTCTCTGTGACAAGAACGGAATAAAAAAAAAATCTTGCTATCAATCTTGTCATTAGATATAAATTAAAAACGAAATTCGAAAGTCCTCAACCCGACCAGCTTTCATGAATCTGGCCAAACAGTATAATTTATATTAATTGCGCCCCAGTTGGGCTGATAACTTTTCAGTTTTCTCCTTCTATGTTCCGTAGGACCGTTGACGATCATGGCTCTCCACCAGTTCCTATCCTTTGCAATATTTGTCTCCTTACTATTCTTCTCCGCCCCTGTTCTGCCATCCATTTACCCAGGTCCTTTAAATAGTTTACTCACTGCCTTTCTCTGTCACTCTTACCTTCAGTATATCTTGTGAGTGCCTAGTTTTCTATGTCACAAACATTTCAATTTCATTCTGATTGTAAGTATACTTTCTTTTGTATTTCCTGTATTCCGGTGAAGGAATGGATAGCGGCTCCGATTGAGAAATCGGAGAACCGAGTTCGAATTCCAGTCGAGTTCGTTACATTCATTTACATGTTAATGCCCTTGAGAAAGGCATGAACTCACCTCTTCCCTATCCCTCCCAATGGGTAAATATCAGGTCAGCCTATGCCTTGATAGTCAACTGGTCGCGTAGGGCAATTCTGAATTCAAAATATGAGAAAACTGAGTAGACTGGAGTCTATAGTCTTTGTTGGCAACCAGTGTAGGAGAAGGAAAACTCTGAATTCAAACCTGACTGGGGAGAATTGGGTTCCGTCAGGATAGCTTACCCAGGAAACACCATTGCTACTGCAACTGCAGTATATGTAGAGGCCCTATGTACCTAATGGGTTATGGGCATTTATGTATGTATCTATGTATGTATGAATGTATATTTCTGAAGACATTCTAATTGCTTAAATGTTCTATCCACAGCATTCTCAACATCCTTCTGTAGAGCTACATTCACTACCTTATAAGTGGATTGTTATTACGTCGCATTCCAGCAGTCTTTCCTTTGTGTCTAACGAAAATACAATATCTATAAACATGAAAGGACTCCTATCCTATTCTACATTTCTTCTTCTTCTTCTTCTTCTTCTTCTTCTTCTTCTTCTTCTTCTTCTTCTTCTTCTTCTCCTCCTCCTCCTCCTCCTCCTCCTCCTTCTTCTTCTTGTAATGTTCGTTTGTAGGAGAGACTTTGTAAATCACAGATTCAATAATAGTAACGCCTTCGAACAATAATCGGTCAGACGATTCCCATGTTGTCCTTTGTTTTTGTTTGTTTTTTCTTTTTTCTTTTTTTTTTAAGAGTCGTGGAGATATATCCTGTCTCGTCGCTTTTTTTGCGTGTTTATATATCTAAATACGTCTGCGTGTTTATGTATTATATTCTTATTGTGTCTGTATTGTCTTTTGCAAGATGCCCATGTTCTTGTTTCAAATGTATCTATGTTGTCATGAAGTTCAGAACAGCATTGGATTTTACGTTTATTCCAACTTAATTTCATTAAAAACAAAATAAATAGAAAAATATATGTATTTTTTTTCCTCGGTTTCTTCTTTAAATGACTTTATAATTTTAAATTTGATATAGATTAAATTTAAAATTTTAAATTGGTAATTTTTAATTTTAAAATTTATAGTATAATTTAATATTTATTAGTTAGAATGAATTCTACTTTAGCCTCTAACCCCAACATTACAGCATTAAATAATTATTATAACCTTAAAGTCTGTTGTCAAGGATATTGTATTCTTATATACTTGTATTTTGATTGGTCATTGCAGCTTATATAACAGCATTTCCCCTAGCGAGGGGTGTTTGATTGATTTGAACCTTTTAAAACCCTTTATTCTACATTCAAAACCATCACTTGATAAAACGCCAGAAGTGTTGAAACAAAATGGCTATTTTTGGTAGTGATTTTATAACATTTTATGTTATAGTTTTCGGATAAATAATTATATATATATATATATACATATATATATATATATATATATATATATATATATATATATATATATATATATATATATATATATATATATATATATAGTTGGATTGGTGTGGGTTTGTGACCCTGGATTTCACGCTATTTGCCATCGTCAGACAAACTGAATCATTTTTAAATTTTGGATTTATATATACTTGCGTATATCGGTGTTTTCATTGTAGTGGGAGGAAAAATTGTCGTCGGAACGCCACTCATACGTACGCAAACATTTGTACACGCACGTTCACTCATTGGCGTACACAGACATACATACACACACGCTCACTCCCTGGAGCTCACACAAACATAAACATATATGGACAGTGTAAGACTGGGCATATATGCACATTCATGTGTCGTTGCGTATAGACAAACGCTCAGTGCGATGACGCCGCAACTGACGAAAGATATTCGCTACACAATCCAACATTGAATACAGCGACGAATTTCGTACGTATGTTTCATTATCCTAACCCACGTCATTATAAAAACGACCCTTCCACAACAAGAGGGTCAGTAGAGTAGACTAGGGTACCAGTACCAGTAGACAAGTAATTCGGAGACCAATAGACAAGTATTCAATAGTCCAGTATACAAGTAGCAGTACAGAAACACACGTCTGCCAGCGCTCCGGGAAGATCGAAAACATACGATTTCAAACGCATCCTCACAAACGAGATTCTCGGAACCAAACCAAGTAAGCACTGACTTTTAAACAAAAGAGACATTGAAAACATTTTTACACACACCAATATCCTGTAATTCACATCACAAAAAGTAAATACAAATTCTTGTTATTTATGTCAACACGTGTCTCAAGTTTTTATTGTTGTTATTGCTGTCGTTTTATGCATTTAATTTCTGTCACTAATATCAAGCCCATTACATTCAGCAAATAATAACAACAAGGAAAATAATACATCAGCACCTACCATACCTACCCCGTTACAAAATATAATCCTTCCAGTCAACCGCGAACGTAAGCCAGAGAAGCCGCAACGAGTTACTCTTACAGCGATTAGTATCAGTTACACTAATAGGAGGCGTAAAGGGGTATTTCAAGGAATTGATAGAGGAGGAGTTAAGATTAACACTCTTGTAAAGATATGATTCCATCACTTCATCCGCGTCTACATAGGGAAAAGCAGACTGTACTTTCTAGCTTTGGTTGCTAACCATTCTAGGAGATGAAAAACTCTGAATTTAAAATCAATTGGACATAGGTATAGCAAATCTATCTAAAAAAAACTACGAAATTCACTACAACAATGTCTAGCGTAGTGATGCTCTGGACCCAGATTGTTGAGGCTGTGGCTTTATACTCATCAGTATATATATAGTTGTAACCTAGAAAGGATTACTGAATGAGGAATAACCAAAACGGAGGTTGGAAATGAAATGGTAATCTTTATAACTTTAACAAAATACAATACTCGCCAGCGACGTGAAGTAGGTAAACCACTGCTAGTAGTAGATTACTTAGATCGCATATTATCCACCACCTTACAATAGTGTCCAACGTATTTATGAGGATTGGGACATACCCATTAGTGTTCACAGGTACTATATATATATATATATATATATATATATATATATACAAGTATAGGATTGGTGTATACGGAATAAATTCCAATAACCAACAAATACTATTCTTAAGTGCTGAATATAGAGTAGAGTAGATATAATCATTTATTCGAAAATTATAACATAAAAATGTTATAAAATCACTACAAAAATAGTCATTTTGTTTCAACATTCAACACCATCACTTGATAAGACACCAGAAATGTTGAAACAAAATGGCTATTTTTGT